AGGTAATTTATAAGATCTTACAAACTAAATATCACATTAAAGTTTTCATGTTTTTCTGGATTATCTGATTTCTTCTAGGCCATATAGATTTTTATGGGATTTTTTAGCGTGGAACTAATGTATGTTATTTTCTTTAAATTCATTGCTTTTATTCCTAAGTTTTTCCACAGTGCCTTCCTGGTTTGATAACTTACCAATGAGTGAATTATTATATTAAAATAGGTAGAATACGCCTAAAGTATAAAGATTATTTTGTTTCCTAATGGGAGTATTGTTTTTGTAATAATTTGAAAATGTTTGTGCTCTAACATCAAAGACGTTTTTTTTTTTTTTTTTTTTTTTTTTTTTTCTTGTTAAAGAGGTTTTTTTTTTTTTTTTTTTTTTTTTTTGGCATGGTGGGAGGTGCTTGGATTGATCCATTTCAGATCTATTTACTCCAAGAGTTCCACAAGAATTCACAGTTATACATCAGACAAGACTTTTTTTTATACCTTGTTTAGTGAACTTATTTTTTCAGTGAGAGAGGAGGGGAAAAAAAAATTATTTTCTTAATTAGCAAAATAGTTTTGCCCAAAGTATCTAGGTGGAGGATAAAATTAGAAATAAATGTTAGTTATTAATATCTTGTAGTAATGGGATTAATAAATGCTTTAAATTTATATTTATAAGGAAGAATTTTTAGAGATTTCAAGGTGGCTGTGGTTGGTATATAGGCCTATATATTTTTATTCGAATCATCATTATTGGTGGGTGGCGGGTTTGCGAAACAAGGTATAAAAATGTCTGTCTTTACTTCATTTTAATGGCTCCTATGATGGAGGTAGAGTATTATAAATGCTTCTCTGACTTGACACAAGCTCCCTAATTGTACAGGGTCAGCAGGCACAGAGTAATAATACATATGACATACTTGCTACAAAGGTTACTTAGGGGTCATATGACCTAGATGTCATAGGTGGGTAAGGATGTATAAAGTGTGTATAATTGAGCTATGCTGTAAAAAGTGATATAAACAGCAGCAGTATTTGACATCTGATCCAGAAAGGAATGTGCAGAAGATCACACAGTTTCTGTTTTATTGCAGAATACTTCATTCTGCATCATAAAGCTAAAGTTTTTTTTTTTTAGTTTAGCCTTGAACATCATATTAGATTGTACAGGGCCACATTTCAATCTCCTCAATCAATTAACTGGATAATTAATGATTTCCATGTCTCTACTCATTGCGAATACTTTAGAGAATTATTCATGCGGTTTGTACAGTTCTCAAAGAACTAACTAGTAGTAGTGAAGGAATTGAAGAAATTATTATATGAATTTCAGATTATTGAAATTTGATTATGGTTTTTGCATATTTTACCAACATTCTACTATTAAAATACTTTATTCTCGCTTGATGTCGCCAAATCTAGCAAAACTGCTATCATTTTTAATTGCTATAGGGCCTCGGGCTTGTCAACACCCGCGAACGAACAAAATTTCTTATCTTCGATCGTTGCCAACATATACTCTCACTATTCTTGCAGCAGCAGTGCACTGAATGACGTCACGCATGTATTAGCGTTTCTATTGGCTAATCATGACGCAATATCATTTACCCTACCTTTAGCAATCGGAAATTCCGATACGGTACCGTATCTCTAGCCACAGCGACATAAACAGTCTGATTGGAATAGGGGACCACTGAAGTAGAAATGTAATTTTTATTTCAAATATAAATTAGTAAATACTTCTACTTTGTTATCGCTTATAGAGGTGTAGATGACAACATGAATCTTGATATAGTGGTGACATGGAAGGGCCTGAAATGGAATGCTAAACCACTAATGCAGTGCATCAATGCCTGGTCAGTATTATTATGAGGCCAATCACACTTACTGGCTGCCTCAGGGCCGGCCCAGGGTTGTTATTTTTTAAGTGTGAACAATCAATAAATGTTAAGCCGGCCCAGAGCCAAGTTAAATTTAGTCCGACTTTTGAGTCGGCTCAGGTCCCGCAATGCGGAACCTGGGCCGGACTTGAGCCGACACAACTTGAAATCTGAACCTGAGCTGGCCCGAGTTCACTTTGATTGCGGTCAATTTTGACATTTTTTCTACCACAACATTCATCCGAACTGACTTTGAGAAATAAGTTGTCATGGAAACTGTAGAGTAAATTGTATTCAGTTGTTTTTGAATAAATGATGTTATATTTAAGGATTCTATGTCTAACTCATGCGAGGCATTCAACATCACACTCCAAGTTGTAAACACATAATAACGGAATGGCAAATACCATGTGATACAAAGCTAACACATTGGTAGTTTATCAGATGACGTATGCTGCGACTTTCTTTTCTACAATTGATTTCAGTCAAAAAAATATTACAAACTTAAGAAAACTCGTATTTTTTTATACCACACATTAATTTCACAAGTTTTTATTCCAAAATCATTTGAAATTCAACCGCGATCTAGGCCTATAGAACACTTTGTATTTATTGTATGTTCTCAGTCAATTCGATTCATTAAATGATTACTAAATATCCTATTCTGATAATTACATGATAAATATGCGTATTGACCTAAAAATTATATGAAGACTGTGGGGAAGGGAAGACTATTCTACAATAGGACCTACTTACTATGTGGTTTAAAATAAATTGAAATTTTTTTCCTCAAAAAAAAAAAAAACCCCCCCCCCCCCCCCCCCCCCCCCCCAAAAAAAAAAAAAAAAAAAAAATTAAATTGGTCTACTGAACCATGACTGTACATAGGTCTAGGCCTACTTACACAATTGTTTTTCTGACAAATATACATTAGGCCTAAACCAAGTTTATTTTGTAGTGTATTTTGCTTTGGCGTATGGTGCTTAACTTTTTGTTAATAAATTTTTTTATCTATGTTAAATTTGTGATTAAGTAATTCATTTAAAGACTTCTTGTCATATTTTAGTTAAATCAAGTTTTATTAGAATGTGTGTAGAAAGAATATTGATATGCGGAAAAGTAAAATTAACCTCCCTCCCCCCCCCACCTTGATTTTTTTTTGAGATGTGACACTAAACAATGCAACGCATCACTTTGAGATCTAGTTTCTTGTATACTTGCTCATTAGGTGTTGCTTTTACTGTATTTCAAAAGGGAATGTTGCTGCTTGTTACCATACCATGATAACTAAAAATTGGCAAGTCCAATTAGTTTCAAATTTGGCAAAATGCAATGAATGAATTTGGTGACTATTAATTATCACAATTCCCAAATTGTTCCCAAAGGAACGTACACACCTGCAGGGTTCTGGTTGGAGTTATTGGTGTTTGAAGTTTAAAAAAAAAAAAAAAAAAAAAGAGAGGCGGCTAGAAAATCAGGGTCGGGCAGTTACGCTAAACAAGAATTTTTTTTTTTTTTTTTTTGGCCTAATCTAATAATTTTTTGTATGTGTCCTAAGGTGAGATGTTTAGTGATTTGGGCCTCATCCCATATTGCTAGTCATTCTGCTAGGACCGTGAGTTTACTTGCATGTTTTGTAATACTTGTTACGACACACTTCAGACCAGAAGGAATCGCACAAACAGACAACCAATAAAAGTTAACACAATTTATTATAGTGGGTACTTTCCGTTTTCATGAAAATACTTCGAGCAAAGAAGAACACTAGATTTAAACAATTACGGAGTACCGATGGCAAATGACCTAAGTTATACAAATTACATAAATCACCACTGATAATTATACATCTAGGCATAAATTTACAGGTGATGAGGTGACTTGGTCCAGTTCTGATTAATCCGAATGTAATTGTCCGCTAAAAATTCCACTAGTGATCCAAGTTTATAAGCTGGAGTAAACAAAAGCATTACAGCTGATGATCCACAGGCAAACAGGCAATAATCTTTTGTGTTAGTTATCCCACGACGAATCCCAAAGATGTTTGACAAATTGTTTACAAAGTTCCGTAATTGTATCTGTCCAAAACTATATATATAGGAGAGTAAATCCAACAAGTACAATAATAATAAAGATGTAAACAGGTTTCCAAATGTCCTTTGAGAATTCCACATAAAACTAGATGTAATATCAGATGATAATTAGCTAGGCCTAGGATTCCATCACCGATCCCAAAATAGCCTATATTCTCACCTACCAGCGTACCGTCCCCGCCAGCGTTATCAACCTTTCACGAGAAGTTTATCAAAACAAAAACAAACTCCCTCCTCCTGGGGAATTCTTTAACTCTTTTTGGTTGCAAAAAGCCCTTCTTGTCCTTCTAGAACATTCTAGGGTTTACTGTCGCTAATTACAACTCATCACCGAGCCAGTCATTACTTTTCCTCCACCAAGACCCCTCGCATCACCTAATTCCGCTCGCTTTCCCCCACAAAGTTAAAAAAAAAACATTCTCACGCACTCATTGAGGTCAATGACCTGGGGTCACTACTTTGTGACATACTTTTAGAACAGAAATCCTTTGACTAAAACAAATCAAATAGCAAATATTCTCTACACCTTCTAACTATAAATGTTAGCATATAATACCTTATAGGCCATCATCACATACTAAAATAATATCTGGTGGCAAAGTGAGAAAAAAAATAAAAAAATAATTTATTAGAAAGAGAGAAAATATGAGACTTTATGAATAATCAATATTGATTTTGAAATTGTTCATTGCTATGATGTGCTGAACCGAGAAGAAAATAGCAGCAAATTTCTGAACTTGAAAAAAAAAAATTATTCTCCATTAATTATACTACCTAGTGGAAGTTTCTAATGATTTCAGTGATATCAGACCTCATGAGCATTGCAATATTGAATATCAATCCAATTAGAAATTCTTAATACAAATATTAAGGCAGGCTGATAATGAATACATATATCGGTTTGACGGTTGGCTATTCGTCGAAAATACAGGTTAATCAAATGAGAGATTTTTTTTTTTATTTGTGTACAGTATGTTACAGTTACTGTAAATGTCCCTTATTATGCTCATTCTGTTTGAGATTGCAGAGGATTACTTAATTTTGGGTGGGTCATTATGGTTGTGTCGATGTTATGTAACAGTATGATTATGTTCTTAGCATGCATAACACCAGAATGGCCAGTTAGAAAGGTAGTGTTTACAGAGTGCTACAGCATTGAATTACAACCTGCATACCTGAACACAATCAAGCAGTCAGTCACTCAACTGACATAGGCCTTAGTATTGTAAAGCACATAACTCAGGACTGCTGCACTCATTAGCATTTCTGCTAGATGAGGTGTGCCCAGTGCTTTGACTAGATGATCATCTACCACTAGGCTTAGCTACATTGCCCTGTGTGTATATATACCATTGTGTAAGTTATCATTTTTGTTATACTGTTCCGATTGATTTCTGAAAAAAATTCATTCAATCAGGAAGTTAATTACAATTATATAGGCTGAATGGTTTGAGCTTCTAGGCCAAGCCTTGTTCATCCACATTTGACCCTTCAGTTCCAAGCTGATTTATTTATGTCCTGGCCTGATACAAAGGCAATTGCTAAAATTCCATCCTGTGGATTTGTAATAAGTTCATTTGCAATCTTATGTTTAATCATGTTCCTAGTTAACTGGACAGTGTTTTTTATGCTACAAATATCTACTTCAGTTCTTCAAAGGTAAGGCTATAGTTTTTGATATTAGGGGGATTAATAATTTGGACTAATGAATAACTTATAAAGACTAAAATAATAATAATAATAATGAAAATTTTAGTTTAAAAGATAGGTCTGTGCCTTGATCATTTTTAAACATTATACAGTAATACAACATGCGCATGTTGTTCAATACCTAAAGTTAATCGCCGTGGCTAGAGATACGGTACCGTATTTCTACTTCAATTTGCTAAAGGTACGGTAAATGGCATTACGTGACCATCACCCAATGAAGTGCCAGAATGTGCGTGACGTCATTTTTCAAGACTGGCATTGCAGATCACCCGCGATGAGCGGTGAAACGAAACGGTGAAACGAAGTAGAAATACGGTACCGTATCTCTAGCCACAGCGAAAGTTAATTGATAACTATGGTTTCTAATTAGGTTAATTAAGCATTAATTAGGATGATGGTTATCTTTGTCCATATCTTAGAAGATGGACACTTAGCAGGCCAAAGCGTGAGAAGCTGTGCTTGGCAAACCTTTTTCAGCGACAATCCACACTCATTAATGTGTAAACCCCTAGAAAAGAAATAGATTTGTCGACCAACTGTGTAGGTCTACCTGGCTTGTTATGATGCCTGTTGCATGTGCGATTGTCCAAATTTGGGCTGTTTAAGTTGCAATAAATAATACTATAAGAAATAATATACTGTATATATATAAAAAAAAAAATAATAATAATAATAATAAATATGATTTATATAGTGCAGACATCCACTTAGAAAAATGCTCAAAGCGCTAGAAGTAAAGACAGAAACTTAGCAGTAAATAAATCTCGGAACCCAACCCGTAAGATAACTGATAAAAACACCTTTGTAATTGTATAAACTTAAAAAAAATTTCTGTGTGCATTAGGCCTTGGATATAGAGCCAAATCACACTTATTAGGGTGGTCTAGGGTCGGCCCATGGCCACCTTAAATACGACCGACTCAGGGCCGCCTTACGAACGTCACACTTCTCCTTTGGGCCGGGTCGATGAATTGCCTGTCTCTTATACACATCTAGATGTGTATAAGAGACAGTGTTTGCACTTACCCGCGTCTCGAGATTATGGCCTGTGATAACGGCCGAGAACCACTGTGTGGCCGATCCTATCCGGTAGACTTTGACCCGATAGCCAGTTACAATGTAGTGTCTCATATTATTTGTTATATTTTTATTATTCATTATTTTCACTTGACTCGCATAAATAATTTTGTTCAAAGAACATTTATATGCAGTTGTACTTCGCAGCACTTCACTTGCAATTTGCAATTTCTAGTTTTAGAATATAAACTTGTGAAATTAATGTGTGCTATACAAAAATGGGTTTTCTTGAGCTTGTAATATATATATATTTTTTAACTGGAATTCAACTGTAGAAAAGAAAGTCGCAGCATTCGTCATCTGCCAAACTGCCCATGTGTAAGCTTTGTATCACATGTATTTCCCCGTTTTATTATTATGTTTACAGCGTGGTGTGTGATGTTGCATGCTTATGCTTCGGACAGAGGCTGTGAGTAGTAATGAGTTAGGCATGGAAACCTTGTATATAACAACTTTTATTCAAAAACAATAGTTCAACTGAATACAATTTACACAAGTTTTCTTAACAATTTATTTCTTAATGGTATTTTTTCATGCAAGTCAGTTCGAATGAATGTTGTGGTAGATAAGATGTTAAAATCAACCGCAATCAGAGCGAACTTGGGCCGGCTCAGGTTCGGCTATGTTCAGATATGAAGTTTGGTTGGCCCAGGGCTGGCCCAGGTCCCGCTTTGCGGGACCAGAGCTGATTCGAAAGTCGGACTAAATTTGCCAGCTTAACATTATTTTATTGATTGTTCACACTTAAGAAATGCCGGCCCTGAAGGCCCTGAGGCAGCCCTGGGCCGGCATAACAAAGTGTGATTGGGCTCTTAGAGGTCTTGTTTTGTACAATATACACTGAAAGTTAATGTGTAAAGAAGCAGTTCATATATCAACCATAGAGTATTTTATATTACAGTGTTACGTCACGATACCATTTGATACTACTCCGTTGCTATAGTTGCTAAATGCGTTCAATCGCACACCATTTTCTCAACTTAAAAACCATTGATCCCAATTTCTAACGTAATTATTAGGATTAATATCTTACATTTTCTTTGTAAATTTTAATAGATTAAATGTGTGTTTGATAACTAATATAATGAGAGCTTTGTGTTTTTAGTACATTTTGGATAGTAAATTATTAGATTTTAAAATGCCTATTCCAGAAAGCCTATGAAGTCATTCAGGCGTAATGAACGGTAACCAACGTCTGTTGACAACAGAGGGCGCCACCTTACATCATGACGACATGACTGTGGTACTCTATACAAAAATATCATTTTCAATTCCCAGTTTAAATGTATTTACTTGTATGGCTTGTATTAGAGTTAAGTATGGGATCAGGTCTTAAGTTGTAGAATTTGTTTATTGTTTGCCTTTATTTTTTTTAATTTGAGTTGAATTTATTTAGCAGTTAAAATACATAGCAAAGAGATGGAAGAAAAATCAGAATGATTTTCAATAATAAGAGGAAAAATTTGAAAAGTGAAGAATATTCTAAAAAGAAATTCAAATTGAACTTTATTGGAATCATTTAAAACATCATAAATGATTGGATAAAACAAGTAAACAGCACTGAATATTAATTAAAAAACTCATTCAAAAGACATCAATTAAATAACAATACAAGAAAAACGCCAAAATCATTGAAAAAATAAATGTCAAAATGTTTTTCTTTTTCCGACATACCTATGGGAGCATAATGTTGTGTTTCTTAACATAGCCATAAAAGCCCAATTTTTGTATTCTGGAAAAAAAGTATGATGCTGTTTGGTGGTTTACTAATTATATATCGGGATTGTCCTTATGCGACAATGTTAAGTGACTTAAGCACTTAGCAGCATGTGTCCTTAGATCTTATCTTGCCCTATGTGAGAAAGCAAACAGCATATCCTCAGCGTTAAGTTGCAGCTAGTTGATCTAGGAGATTTGAATGATCACATGTAAAGCAAACACCAATTAAGAAATTGGTTAATTAAATGTACATTGACAGTTTGTAAGAGTAAACCCATGTTGGACAAAGCTGAGATTACCAATTTTACGAAAGATTGTTGTTGTAATGTCCTCAACTAAATGCAGGGTATGTAAACTGATATGATCTGTGGTAAAATAAAGTTGTTAAATCTGCAAATCATTTGTGATCTTGGTGAAATCTACAGTAAGTTTTGTAATGTTTATTAATTCCAAAATTAATGCAGTTTGTGAAAATCTGATCTTGTGAACATAACCGGTACCAAATAATGAATTTACAGTATTGCATTAAGCGCGATTGCCAAATTATTCAAGACGACAATCTGCATTCAGATGCGTTATTCTATTGTTCTACCAAAACACGTCTCAAAACACCATTTGAATAGAGCATCGTTTGGATGCCAATATTCCGTTTTGGCATTTGCTCCTCCCCTTTAACTAAGAAGCGCGATTGCCTTCCTGCGCTAAAAATCAGGACAGCAATCAATTGCTTTTCTTGTGTCAAGACCCTAGGCCTAGATTTGATTATATATTTAGGCCAGAATGTAACGCCGACTTTCCATGACACTTAAAGTATGTTTGATAGTGTTTATGATAGTGTGTTGACTTAGATGCGTTGTTGCCCTCCTGAAGCATTGGGATGAACTCTTATTTCTATTATGCAATCAACAGCACATTACGAACTATAAGCTTTGATTTCTGTGCTACGGTTCCACATGCAATACTGTATGTATTTTTTTTGCTTGCTCAGGTAATGCAGTCATGTGACCACAAAGCAGGATTATAATTAGTTAGATTGTAAAACTAAATATTGGATTTAATTATCCTATCAATCCGTCGTCAATCCTAAAAGATCCGTCGTCAACTATCTTTTAGGTATTGTTTGACTGTGACGTTGTTGTCGCAAATTTGGATGTGATGTGCTGAATTGATTCCCCGCAGGGTTTATTGTGGTTTAACAGGGCCATCATGACAGTGGTAAACAGATAGCAAGAATAATATTAATTCATTTTTTGTAAAAATCCAAATCTAAATTACAATAGCAAGAATATCATTACATATTATTAGAATAAATTATAGTTTATACCGAAGTTGCAAATCAGTAAGAAATAGTGTCTTACAGTGTCCTGAGATTTGGCAGTATGGTGGTGCTATTGAAATATTATCAAGTAGTGCCGTCTTCGATTCGCGATTCTCAGCCATTCTTTTTAATATTCCTTTCAAAATATAAGGCCTATATAAAATTGTTAATAATATACTCCGTCTAAATCTAATTAATGTTACAAAGTGAAAGAAAAATATAAGGCAAATTTATAAAAATTCAGGTCTAAATAGATCTTTGTATACAATTTACATTGTTTATATGTGATACTGCCAACACATCTTG